TTGCAAGGATCATCAATAAAACCACCATTGAATTTTCAGTTTTTAAACACTTCATCCTGCTTCACAATAATATTATTCAATCCATAATTAAGCAGGCAGGTCATAAACTTAATAAAAACTCCACAGTACATGTAGGTTAATTTATAACATATGCCAGTCTGTCAAACTCACATCTGATCTCATAATAGTATTGTATAACAAGACTAGCCTGAACATAACAAAACAGTCTTTCTCCCTGTAGACAGTAGTTGATAATCAAAGGGGACTCTTTGACTCATGACTAAAATTTTTTTGGTCAAATCCAGGGGAAACTGGAGTAAGCCGACTCGAGTTGGCAGGGTTCTACTGTACAAGTTGACCGCGGGAAATTTTCTCACAAACAAAATTTTCTTTTCTCTCAAGGTGACGAAAACATACCACGACCAAACGTTTACACAGATGAATGTAGCCAATTAACAAGCCATTTGGTTAAAAATGTCAAACCATTTCCAGCTAAGCAACAAACCATATTTCCAATCGAACGTATAACCTCCATTGAGTCCGAATGTGTATATATCAGCCATTCAGATTGGCTAATCTGAACAAAGGGTGTGTTTGTGTTTCACCAATAGGCGACTCTTTAAGATTAAGACTCGTACCAGGTCCCCAACATGCAAAATAATGCCTTGCAGCTTCGAATGTTTACAACATCGAAGGTGACAAAGGTTTTTTAGGCTTTTTCCAAGATAAATCATCTTTAAAATGGCATATTTATGCAGGAATTCCTAAGAACCTTGTTGATTTATGTTTTATTTTATGAATTTTGTGCATTCTTTTGTGAATTATGGGATTTTTCGTGAATTGTGTGATCGGATGCGATTTGAGGTCAATTGTGCGAAATCACACCATCACGTAATATCAGAAGGCCTGAATAATGAATTCTCCAGCACCCATTTGTACACCTGTGTGGAGAGAGGCACTGTGAGAGTAAAGTGTCTTGCCCAAGAACACAACACGATGTCCCTTGCCACTCAATCTGGAGTTGAAGGCACTAACCACGAGGCTACCATGCTTCTACTGTAGTCAAAAGGATGTAAAAATTATCATTACCTGTTAATTGGTACAATGTTGAGTTCTATATATCCTAAGGCATTCATGAACAGTAACGTCAAGGCAACACTTCCAGTTTGCCAGCTAAAAAAGCATATCAACAAATAAATAAACACACAAAAACATTGCAAAATAATTTGTGAGTGGACATTGACACTGCTTCAACACAAATCAAAAATTTTACTAGTTTTATATTGTATTGCCCTTATTGATTATTCTTACTCAGTGTGTTGACTACTAGTACTGGGTATCTACAAATCTGGTTAGTTTTCTCATTGTTGTCTACTTTAATGTTTGATAGAAGACATTCACGGGACAATTAACCTCATTCTTGCTAGTTGGCTTTACCTTATTAAAATAATTGACAATAATTAGGCTCGTAGAAGATTGTACATATGAAGTCTTTGACTGTCAACGACACGATGACTGAAAGTGAGCTTACCTTTGAAAGATTGTGGGATAGGTAAACTTCAGATCTGACAAAACATGCTAAAAAAAAGAATAAAATAAATAAAATTAAAGCTATGAATAACGAAAGCTGTCTAAACCTCTGAAATCTTTATTCGGACAGCCAGTGTTTTCAACAGCCAGCACATGTAAGAAACGACAAAATGTAGAAAATATCGAATTAAATTCATTCAAACGGACGAAAAGCCAACAAGCAAAAACTAAAACAAAGACAACAAAAACGAAATACCTTGTTCACAATAGTTGTTACGACAGTGAGAGCACAAAACGCAGCTAAAACACCTCTCGTCCGCCATATTGTTGCCATCATTTTAGGGGATATCCGCTGTTCACAAAAATCTCTAGGAGGATGGCGTGACGATATATCGTCACAAACTGGTGTGGCGTGACTGAGTTTTTAGACATATTGCAGTTCCGTTCTGCTGAACAAGAAGCGATGATGTCAGAGGAAGCGGCGACAAAAATCTAAGCTGCTGGAACTTCAATGTGCTCATGAAACACTGTTGATGAACTGGTAAGTAATTTAGAATAAGATTGAGTAACTTGTGCTCTTTCCATTGAACTAAACAGAGCGCTGAGGTTTCTTGAAAGGGGCGAACCTCACAATCTTGAAACAATTATTCATAATCATGACAGTTATGATTCACTGAGATGTAAATTTTACCCCGTTTGATGTGCTTATGGCGGCCAAAGATCTCCCTGGGAAATAACTTGCACTCAACCAACTATATAATTTGTTTTCGCGAATAACATCATTCCTGTAATAAGTGTTCTTCGACACACAAATTGCATACAAATCGTTAACAGGATATTGCATGTCTTTACATTGCCGGACTTTGCTTACGCAAACGATATGGCTGCATTCTTGATAAGTATTTTCAAGGTATACCGCTTTGCTTTCTTTCGGGTTTCTCTGCTAATTTGCGAAACAAATACAAAAGTCCAAGTTTCAATTAGTCGATCACTCATCTGCCTCGAGAAATCAGCGAGTCTTGAAGAATTCAAAACAGTACTATCCTTAGATCTCGGTTCAAAAGACATTGAAAGCCGCATTTGATGAGTTGCTAAAATATTTAGTGTTACAGCTAGGAATAACTTACCTTCATAAATCGTACGATTTCCAGTGAGTAAGGTAGTTGGGTAGAAAACATTTAAGTAAGTCATTAGCCTTTATTTAAAGTTGTAATATTTCGTATGAAGGTTAGTTCTGAACGTTGTTTCCGCAGCAGCTCGCTGCGCTGCTTGTTTAAGAGCTGACGCGGAAGTTGAGTGGCATTTTCTCGTCTCCCTGGCGTTTTTTAGGTAATTTCGTCTGGTAAGTACGGGGGAAAGTTAATGGATCAGTCACGCATTGTTTTGGCCTCTACCTCGTAGATCTTAATCTTTTCCTCGTCTCTTTAGTCTCAGTTAAGCCCAAACTCACCCCCCTTACACCCCCCCCCCCCCCACCACCACCACCACCACCACAATTATGTTGCCTGATTGGAAACAGCCTTCAATCTCCAGCTAATTGCTTCTTTCTCCGCACGATAACTTAATAGAACGGATAATTAATTTTACGGTGAGCGAAAGTATTTGAAAGCAGATATCAGTTGTCACGCAACGTTTCTCTTTCAGTAGTTCGTATAGTGTGATCGTCCGGGTGA